AGCAGCTAGGTCGATGCGAGCGTCCGAAAAGAGGGCCTCAGGGGGCGGGGGTAATCAGATTCCGGCTGCGGGCGGGAGGGCTTGACGTCAGCAGCCTTCCCGCCCTCTGCCTTTGGGGTTTCCTTGCGGGGCTTGCTGGAGCCGGCAGCCTTCTTCTGATGTGAAGGCTGGCGTTCGCTGCCAGCTGCCTCGTCAGCGCGGCGCTTGGGGGCCATGATGAAGAGAATTTTGTAACTGCAAGACCATGAGCACGCAGACTTAGAATCTGTCTCTTATTGATAGAGACAGGCTCGGCTCGCATGCAGAACACAAGTTGACAGCTCAATCATGTATGCTTCTATATTTGGATCTTGTCTCAAGCACGATGAAGCATTCACATTGCCCGGGTTGGCACTGCCATGATACATCTATTCCCATGAAGCTGCTTCTAGGAAGGTTCTGAACGGATGTGACATAGTTTCATCATCCAACATCTTGCATGGCCATCCACAAGATTAAGGCGTTGGTAAACAAGACTTTGACAATATGTGGGATCCAACAGAGGGGACTTCCATTCCACAAGTCTAGCAATTACCTGGGCAGAATTGCTTGAAAGCTACAGAATGCTTCAATGATCCAGCTTCTCCGTAAGCCTTCTTGCAAGCTGCATGTCCTTCGCCAAGACGGTCACTCGCTTGGCGTGAATGGCGCACAGGTTGCTGTCTTCAAAGAGCTGGACAAGGTAGGCCTCCGCTGCTTCTTGGATAGCTAGCATAGCCTGCGCCTGAAACCGCCTGCAAACAAGTCATTTCGACATAAGGCACTCTTACTACTTCCGCCTGGAGCATGCTTTCCGACAGACCAGTTCTTTCTCTGAGTATTGGAACCTTGGCGCCATCCCCTTGGCCTCAAGGGAAGGCAACTGATCTGGCCCCCAAATGGTGCCCAACTTCCGGTAGACCCTAAAAACACACCAGTGTCGGAAGATAAGGGCCGATGCTGTCAGCCACAGGGATCCTACAAAGCTGATTCTCACCAATCAGGCAAGGGGCACCCACAAGGCTGACTACTACCAATCAGCCACAGGGCACAATGTTGATCACCCCTGCACCCAGTGTGCCTCAGAGGCTCTGCCTTTGCCTTTCATGCACGGGCTTGATTCCAAACCTCATCAACTCTACGTAAACAGCAGCTTGACCTCAAAAACCCTAAAGCAGGCGCTTGCATTCCGATGCCGCGATCAAACGAAACCTTATAGGAGATGGGGCGCCATCACCTTGAAAACCATGCTAGAGCACTCTTTGAATCTTGAAAAGCAATGTTGGGATATTCAAGGACTCACAGGTCGGTCTTGAAGTCCTGAGCAATCTCCCTGACAAGGCGCTAGAACTTGAAGCGTCCTAATCAGGTTCTCAACGCTCTTCTGGTACTTCCTGATCTCACGCAAAGCTTTGGTGCCTGGGCGTCATCTGTGCGGCTTATTGATGCGAGCTGTAGTAGGAGCTGAAAGCCGGGCTATTTTGGTTGCCAGTTGGTTCCTTGGCGCCTTTCCTCCTGTGCTCTTCCTTGCTGTTTGCTTTGTGTGCGCCATTTCGCTAATCTTGACATGGGTAATCGTCGTCCGGCTCGACTCGAACGGACGAGACTGGACGCAAGCCATGCACGAGAGTGCATAAAACGTGACATTGCAGGTATTTTTTCGACGGCGCGTGACGAACCAGTGGCGACGAGGCTTGAACTTGGCTTGAAATTCATCGGAAGTCGAAGCGAGGCCAATCGTCGACATTTGCACGCGAAGCTGCACGTATTGTACGGCGCCGATCGCATCTCGGACCTTTGTACGGTCAGAAGCGCAATCCGTACAAGTATTGCGCTTATACGCCGTACGGAGCGCAATACTCTGTACAATTGTAGGTACGTAGGCGTGAAGTTCGACGGAATGTGCATGCATTTCAAATTCGAATCTCGGTAGCGGCAAGTCAGCAGCCCAAGTGATGGGGTCACCTCGACTCTGACCTAGGCACTAAAGTATCACAAATACCAGCTAGGCCCTTCTAAGAAAGACGCCCGGCGTTAGGTCCTCATTCCTAGCAGCCGTAAGCCAGAGCGGAACAGTGGAACAAAATGGAGCCAGAGACTGCAAAAGTCATGGAACGATTGGCGGCAATTGGAACCAAAATGGTGTCCTTTAAGCAGAATGTGATGGTCAGAGTTACCAAGCGTGGGATCATCTTCAGGTCCAAAAACTCTGGCAAGCATTGGAAGGTGCTGGATACCAAATGGTTCGAAACCAACCGCGGGTTTTGGAGCTCCATTGTGGATGACTTTGCCAAGGGCACAAAACTCGGTCATGTGGAAAAAGCCAGCATAAAGGCTTCAATGGCCATTCTGCCAGGAAAAGATGCAACCGTTGATCGTGCTGTAAACTTCCGGAAGAATGTGTACATCATCTTCCGCAAGCAGGCCGGGATTAGAGATTCGGCTCCGCTGCCCAGCAAGGTCGTCCATGCGGTGAAATGGACTGTGCCCAGCGCGGGTGCCACCCCGTGCCTGATCTTGAGCAGCACCTTCGACAATGAGGACTGG